GGTAGAGAACATGTGTTAGAAGTAATGTTTGCTTAACCAAGGTAATTGGGACTGGAAGTCCCATTGCTAAGCAATGCAATCATTATGAGTAATGTCATGTGACTATGACAATTAGCATTAGCAGTTCTAGCAGTCCCCAAGTGCTACCACACTCCCCTCACACACTCATACACAGCAAGAGTTCTACAGGCATTTCTTCGACCCACCCCCAAAACAAGTTATCAGAAAGCATCCCTGTTGCTCAGGTTCCACTTCCAAGCTCAGCACTGGAAGAGTCACTGGGCAACAGAGCCCAACAGGGACACCCAAAGTCCAGGAAAACAATCCATGAGTCAGACAGGTCATACATGGCACGAGCACACTAGGCACACTAGCTGTAACTTTGAGAACTAGCCATACATATCATTCGTTTGGCCTTGTTGTGAGTTTGAATGGTTGCTAAATGAGTAGTTGTTAACCAAGGACCACCTATAAGCAGGAAACCCTTCCAAACAAATGTCTGTCCAGTCGCTTCTTGAAAACCTGTTTGCAAGACTGCCTATCATACCATCTCTAGTTCTTTTTTTTTCATTAGACTAGATATACCCAATTCCGGCGACCATTGTTCATATGTTTTAGCCTCCAGTCCTTCTTTTTGGTTCTTCTCTGTACTCTTTCTAGAGTTTCAACAGCTTTTCTATAGCGTGGTGACCAAAATTGGATGCAATATTCCAAGTGTGGTCTCACCAAGGCATTATAACACTCTATGTGATCTTGATACCATCCCTCTGTCAGTGCAATAATTAATGCTGTTCAAGAGTCAGTTTTGGGGCAAAAATGGAAATGGAACAAAAGCAAGGAAGTGAGAATAAAATAAAAAATATATATAGAAAAAGCACAGGGGAGAACCAACCTAGAAATTATAAATTTCCCAACAGCGCAAACAATTGATCAGAGGAATGATTTGCTTTCAGAAATTCTGAGGGCTCCATCACTACAGTTTTTCAGGTGATATTGGACAGCCATTTGTCTGAAATGGTATAAGATCTCCTGCTTGAGAACCATTCCAACTGTTATTCTGTGTCTCTCTTATTCTGTTAAAACTAAAGGGGATATGTGGAAGAGTAGAAATGAAAATTTAAAAGTGCTGAAAAGTGAGTCCTATAAATGCTGAAAATGCTATGGGAGCAGGTGGAGCTAGTGTACTCAGGGGTGTCCAACCTTGATAATTTTAAGGCCCATGGACTTCAACTCCCAGAGTTCCCCAGCCAGCCTGAGAATTGAAGTCCACAAGTCTTAAAGTTGTCACGATTGGACATCCCTGGTCAAACTGGATAAAATATGGGTGTGATTTGTTTATGAAATGGCTACTTAAAGGCGACCACTGTAATCTGATAATTCAAAGAATGCTTTTATTGTTCCCTTATAAAAATGGAGAGGTAGCAAGAGTGAATATAAAAACTACAGGGGATTACTTTGCAAAGTGCACCTGAGAACATTTGGCAGAATCTTGATTGAAACAAACTTATAATATGAGCAACATTTGAGGAAGGCAAGCCAATGAACCTCCAACAATTTTTTGCTCTTTTGTAGACCATGGAGAAATGTATAAATGTGAGTAAGATAGTACATGGTGTTTTCTGATTCAGAGAAAGTATATGAAGAAGTAAAGAGGCTTGAGTTATGGAATATTTTGTAGGAATATGAAAATTAGCTGCTGTGTGCAATAAAAATGGTATAGTGAAAGATTCAGGACTGAGCAGGGAGTAAATCTAGGGAAAGTGATCTCTTGGATGTTTAATACATTTATAGATAAATTATCACGAGTATTGGTGGTGACAGAAGGAGTGTGTTTGGTTGGGAAGATAAATCTTGCTTTGTTTGCAGAACATTTGTGTTGCTGTATAGAATCTGAATTACTTGCAGCAAACATTCAATTGTACAATGCAACCAGGAATATGGTTCTGAACAATAATTAAAGAGTAGAATAACCAAGTTTGACAGGGGAAAGAGAGTTAATCAGTGGTGGGATTCAAAAAATTTTACTACCTTTCTGTGGTCATGGCTTGGTGGGCGTGGCAGGGGAAGGATACTGTAGAATCTCCAGTCAGAGATGGTATTTGCTGGTTCTTGGAACTACTCAAAATTTCTACTACCGGATCTCCAGAACTGGTCAGAACCTGCTGAATACTACCTCTGGAGTTAATGTGTAAAAGTTATACATAAGTAATACTTGGTGCTCTCTGGATTGTTTTTTTTTTCAAATTTTTTTATTACTGGTTCTGTGGGCATGGCTTGGTGGGCGTGATGTAGCTTGGTGGGCATGGCACGGGAAGGATACTGTAAAATCCCCATTCCCTCCCCACCCCACTAGCCTGCTTTGCAGCTCCGTTCTCCTGTGTAGGGCAACAAAAGAAGACCCAGCCGATTAGCTAGGCCTCAGGAGGCGGAGAATAGATGGGGGCAGGGCCAGTCAGAAGTGGTATTTGCTGGTTCTCCGAACTACTCAAAATTTCCGCTACTGGTTCTCCAGAACTGGTCAGAACCTGCTGAATACCACCTCTGGTTTTCTTGCAGATGTTTCCTCCCTGATGGTGTTACCTAGTTGGGTTATTAAACATCCTCAAGAAAACAATCCAGCTCTCTTCAACTCAAATATTCTCCTTTTCATAAGGATGGTTAGGGATGAAACAAGTTCCTTATAAAGTATTTTTCCATTTCTGTGATGGAAATGGAAAAAAAGTGTTGATTTATGGATTTAATGATTGAAAAGGGACTAAATAGGGGCCTGAAGGATTTTTTTTGTAGTTTTAAAGAGGAAGGTGGAACAATGAGTTTGTTTACAACTGTTGAAAAGAAGATCTGAAGTTGCTTTCTTTTTGCTGATCTGTGTTTTTCATTCCCCCCCCTTTTTTTCCATCGTTCTTCAAGCTATTTCCCACTTTTCCTTATTTCTTTTCTCTTTGCCTTATATTCTTTCTTTACATTTATTATGTATGTAAAAAGTTTTAATAAAAATTACAAAGATGATCTTTTGTGCCTTGGCAGAATGTTTTCTAAAAAGGAGAAAATGGATGACGAAACATTTAAGGTGAGCAAATGCCGGTTACAAGTAAAGGAAGAGCAGATCCAGATAACAGGAAACACTTATGGCTAATAGACTAGCAGAGTCAGAAGAGACCTTGGAAGTCTCATCTAGTCCAGCCCTCTGCTTAAGCAGGCCATATACCATTTCCAATGGCTGTCCAATCTCGTCTTAAAAACTTCCAGTGACGGAGCGTCCATAACTTATGGAGGCAGACTTTCCCACTGATTTCCTGTCAAGAAATTTCTCCTTAGTTCTAGGTTGTTCAATAGAGCCGATGAATCAAGAAAGACTCAAGAGAAGTGATGGAGGGAGAGGGTTGAGATCTTGCCTGCTCACACACACCTACACACAAACACAAAAGCAGAGACCTGCTGCCAACTATGATGCCAAACCAAACACACGTTCTGGTAATTTTGTCATTCCACCCATCCCAATAAGACACCTATGTTGAGAACTTTAAAGAAGCAGGATGCAAGGTATGAATTGGTAGAGGAATGCATGGGGGAAAAAAAGATTGTTTGCAAGGATAGGCATGGATTGATTTAATGTTAGTGTTTCAATTGTTTTATACTTATTTTATTTTTTTTCTATTACCAATTGCAATAACATTGCTTACTTCAATAGTGTGATTGGTTTATATAAAGAAAATGTCACCCAATACTATTTTTGTATTGTGCTACTGGTTAACATGATCCTTGTTTTCAGACGTGGATAATTTTGAAGGTATGCATTATCCATGGAAATTGAGGAATTCCCATCAAACTCAGGGGAGTGACTAGGTGCTTTGAACCAATTTAGAATCCCAGCTCTATTCTCCATTGTGATTAATGTCTTCCCCAGGAAGACCACCTAAGGTTGAAGTCTGCGTTGTGTGTAATAGGTCTCATTGCTCATTTCTGGAATATTTTGTAAGCCAAAAAAAAATTTTTTTTTTAAAGTAAGTTTCCTGGAGTGATGCCAACATGGAAATGTGACGAACAGCCAAACATATTTCAGTCCAAGGTTCTAGACTTTAACTCCAGTCAAGTGGTTTTTGGCAACCTCCTCCAGAACAAGCACGATTGGAAGGAAAGGGGAAATACCTTATCTTACGTGGTTTCCACAGGGAGTTTGGGAACTGAAATTTAGTCCCATTGAGCAGAAAAATTGTGTGTTTTCTTAGTGATCTGAAACTTAATCACATCAGCTTCTATTGCCTAGATCTCATGGGAGTGCATCATATAAGTTAGGAAGGAAAAAACAATAGCCAATGGCTTAATAGTGTTATATGGCCTCCATTTTTTAGTGCCAGCTTCTATTATGGTGAACATGGAAAGAAACCAGCATATGGAGCTCCTTTAAGCTGGGCAAGATCCTCTCACTTGGCAGTTCCCTTCCCTCCCCAACTGCTTATAAATTAGCCAATAAAAACAAGAACAGACGCAAGTTATTACAAAAACCATCTTTATCATCAGGAAAGTAAAAAACCAAGTTGCATAGAAATTCTTCAAAACCTTGAACATCAAGTGTATTTCACGTGAAACAGTAACCAATGGAAGCACCAGAGACCGCCTGCGAGGGGTCCTGCCCCCATCGCAGCTTCTTAGCATTAAGACATAACACACCCCACGGATTTCTAAGCATGGACAGGGCCCAGCCCACTGCTGCCCTACCCCTCCCACTGGTCTCATTCACAAAAAAAGAAAGGGAGTTGCACAGTGGTGCTCAGTGGATTTAAACCCCCCCTCCCCCCCCCAATTCAGCCAGAACTGTATATTTAGCTGCCTCATTTTAGCTGCCCGAGTGTCAGTAGTGGAACGGCTTCACATTCATCTTGTATTCATGTTACACATGCTTGGTCCTTTTAGACCTGAACACTTATTAACACACCCCGCAACTTTTCACCAGACATCCATTGATTACTATCTACTTTTTTTCTTCCCATTTTTTTTTTAGCTTAACGCGGAAAAAAAGGCAACCTTCATCTATCTTTAGCGGCAGCCCCGCTGCTGTAAAGTTATCAGCTGTCAGGAAAAAAAAATACTGCTAAATCAGTAAGGGAAAGTCATCCCATTGGCAGACGAGGACTTTTTAAAGCTAGCATAGTGTAATCCAGGCCTACTACATAGGAGTGAGCTTTGTTGCTGGTCAGAATTAAGTAGCACAGTGCTTGTTCTTACAAGTCAAATGTTGCCTTCTGCCTTCTCTGCGGACTATCTCCCGCTGTTGCTGCAAATCAAACTTCCATCTAATCTAACCTACTGTGGCTTCAGAGGGATAACCACTTCTTGAAAAATCAGCTTATGTTCCATAGCCCTTTTAAGTAACATACCTCCCCCACTTTGGGGTGGGAATGGCCCCAACGTAATGAGTAAATGCTCAGTTGGTTCAACCAAAGAGGAAGAGGCTACTTTCAACATTCCTCTATGAGCAATTGTTCAGAACTATACAACTTCTTTTTGATGACCCTAAAGCCGGTGCTGAGCTTCAGGGACTGACTGAAGCCCGGCGAGAAAGCAGAACCGGAGCTAAAAAGTCCTTGGATTTTCGGCCACAGGCGGGAATCCAGTCTCAGCACAAGCATCAGCTGGAAAGTAGGCACCAGGCTGGGGTCCACAGCTATCTGCTCCACGCTGTGGCACACCTTCCCTTGTTCCACGCACAGGTCGATGAGGGCTCCCCTCAAGCCACAGGGCTCTCGGTAAGCCAGGTGAAGCAGCTCCTTGCTCACTTGGGTGACCAGCTCGTTGGGCATGCAGAGGTGGGAGGGACGGTTGGAGTAGAGCTTGGCTTTGTTCAGGGTGACCTGGATGAGCTTCATGAGGTTGGCGCACAAGAGCTCATCCTCAGGATCGTTCAGCAAATCGAAGTCGGGCAAGGAGACCTCATCCAGGTATTCCTGGGCGTCTGGAAAACCCAATCAAAGCAGCCCGTGATGTACAGGCAAAGAAAAAGGAAAAAACACTCCCTTCTCCCCCCTCCAACAAAGAGAATGCAACTCCCAATAAGTGCAAGACCAGCACCAACCCACCCCAGGGATCCTCTTGTTTCAGCTGAAGTTTAAAAGAGATCTCTCCAAAAGCCAGACAGCAGAAAGCCTAAAAGGTGAAGGCGCCTCGGGATCTGCCTTCCTCATGAAGACTCTCCAAAACTGTAGCGCTACAGCCATGACTATCCAGGCTTACCAAGTGATCCTTTGTTTGTGCTAACTTTTGGGGAGGGCTAGAGAAACCATCGATTAAGGTTTGTTTCCAACTTACCGTGGACACCCACAACTCACAGCCAAAGGTCCCCATTCACTGCATTTACTTGTATTTGCGTTGTGTGTAGCAATTAGGACACTCGCTCATCCTCTTTCTCCCTCACCTCCTCCTCCCATTTTTTTCCTCTGATCCCTGATTTCTCTATTATCATTATCGTCATTATTTTATGCTTAAAATTCAAGGTTCTTCAAACTTGGCAGGTTTAAGACTCGTGGACTTCAACTCCCAGAATTCCTCAAGCTAACCTGACTGGAGGAGGAATTCTGGGAGTTGAAGTCCACAAATCTTAAAGTGGGCCAAGTTTGGACACTTCTCCTTAGTCCCTTCTAAAGGGCGGGTGGGACTACAACTCCCATAGTGCTGAGTGAACAAAAGTTGGGTTTCGGATCGGTGGGAATCAAAAAAAAACAAAACTCAATATGTTTCCAAAGCTATCTCTCTCTTAACTTCAACCTATTCGTCCAGCACGATGGGCATTGTAGTCCCAAGCTTCCCCTACCGGGAAAGCCGCTCTATATAGAAAGGACGCGCCAGCCGCGCCTCTCACCTCCTCCTTCGGAGCTCAAACTGCTGTCCAGGGACTCGCAGTCGGAGTTCTCCAGCCTGGCGGTCCGGCCGCTTGCCGCTTCTTGGTAGGCGCTCTTCTCCCAGGCAAAGGCAGGCGGCGCCGGGTTCTCTCTAAGCTCCGGAATGGGAGGCAGCGAAGGGAAGCCGTCCCAAGACACCGGCATCTTCTTCTTCTTTTTCTTCCTCCTCGACGGAGCGCCGCCGGGCTTGCAGGTTGGAGGAGAAGGAGGCTGGAATCGGCGGCCGGAGAAACGACTCTGGAAGAAGAGGAGAAGAAAGGACCATTAACTTCCACCGAGTCACCTCCTGCAGCGGCGGGGCAGGAACACCAGAGACCAGCGCTCGCCTCTCTCTCTCTCTCTTCCCGCCCCCTGCCCCAAAGAGGTGCTTACCAGCTTGCGGGACGCCCCAACCCCGCAAGCTTCTCGGAGCTAGCGGCAGAAAGCCTTGAACCGCCCCACGGCGTCTTAAAACAACAAAAGGCTCCACGAGCCAAAGCTCCGCGTCTCTCCTTTCCGCCTACCGCTTCTCTTCTCCCACCCAGCCACCCCTTTGCCCTTTTCTTGGCACTGCGCTCCCAGCCCCCCGGTTCCGCCTTTAAATAGTCAGGTCAAGGGGGAAGCCCCGCCCTTTGCCCACGCTCACCCCTTTCTGCTCGTCTCTGACTGGCCGGCCGGGAGGACGGGCTGAGCCAATGGCGGGCGACTGCACGTTCGCAACGTTCTCTCCTGCCCGGTGACAGCAGAGCGGGACACGCCTCTTTTTCGTGCCGGACGGGTGTTGGGGGGGGGTGTATGTGAGGCAGAGCGTACGGGAGGGGAGGGGAGGGGGGGAGGTCCGGGGACTGGGGAACAATAGGAAGGGGGGGGCAGGGAGGGAGGGTTGCTCTGTTTCCCTCCCCCCCTCCGCCCGTTGGTTTGAACCCTCTTCTCCGGGAGGCTAGAAAACCCGAGTTTTCCTGCTTTTCTGAACGCAACCCTTGCTTTCCATGCCAAGCAGCGTGGAACTTAGCTGGGACTTCGCAGTGAGACGCGGACAACCCCCCCTCCCCCCTCAAGTCGGCCAGGGGAGGCCGGCTCGTTCCCCGCTTTCTGTGCATGCCTCCCATTCAGGCTAATTGATGGAGCCAAGATTGTGGGGCTTGGCGAGCAGATCCCGGGGAAATCCAGCCCAGCCAAAACCGAGCTGTAGGTTTACTCTTTATTTATTTATTTTTATTTTTTGCAAAGTTATCAGGGCTGTAAAACTTAAAATTTACGGGGTATGTATGGCTCCTCTGAAAAACAAGCTTGGCAACTTTAAGACTTGTGGACTTCAACTCCCAAGCCAGCATAACATAGCTGGTGGTCATAAGTATGAAAAATTGTCTTAAAAGGCCCTTTTTTCAGTGCCTTTGTAATTTCAAATGGTCACTAAATGAAGTTTGTGGACCCCTGAGGGTCTTTCCCAGAAGTGGTATTCAGCAGGTTCTGACCAGTTTGGAGAACCGGTAGTGGAAATTTTGAATAGTTCGGAGAACCAGCAAATACCATCTCTGACTGCCCCCCCACCCCCATCTATTCTCTGCCACCTGAGTCCCAGCTGATCGGCTGGGTCTTCTTTTGTTGCCCTGCACAGGAGAACTGAGCTGGAAAGCAGGTTATGGGGTGGGGGAGGGAATGGGGATTTTGCAGTAACCTTCCCCCAGGAGTGGGGTGGAAATGGAGATTTTGCAGTATCCTTACCCTGCCACACCCATCAAGTCACACTCGCTAAGCCACGTCCATAGAACTGATAGTAAAAAATTTGGAATCCCACCACTGGTCCGTTTCCTTTCCTTTCAATGGATCTTAATACGGGCTAAGCCAAGATTTTTGGGAGAAGGCAATAATGGGCTCAAGGGAGTTGATGCTCAAGCCAGCACCATTCTTAGATACGAAATCTAATATACAGGCTTCTTATTATATAGGCTTCATGGGTCGGAGACAAGCCCAGGTCTTTTGGTTCAAAGAGTGAACCGATCTGGGATGCATTCAGAAGCCACGACTATCCAGGCTTACCAAGTGATCCTTTGTTTGTGCTAATCTTTTTTTTGAGGGGGGGGAGTTGGGGTGAGTAGAGAAACCCTAAATCAATTAGGGTTTGTTTCCAACTTCCCGTGGATGCCCACGATTCACAGCCAAATGTCCCCACTCACTGCGTGTTGTGTGTAGTGATTAGACACGCACTCACCCTCTTTCTGCCCCTCCCCCTCCTCCGATTTTTTCCTCTGATCCTGGATTTCTCAAATATTATTATTTTATGCTTAAAATTCAAGGGTCTTCAAACTTGGCAAGTTGAAAACTTGTGGATTTCAACTCCCAGAATTCCTCAGGCTAACATGACTGGAGGAGGAATTCTGGGAGTTGAAATCCACAAGTCTTAAAAAGTTGCCAAGTTTGAAGACCCTTGAGTTAAATTGTATCAAAGTTGCCCTTAAGCGGAGCCCGAGCATTGCATTTGTCCAAAATAAATAAATAAATAAATAAAAAAGACTTTAAAAATAAAAGGCATGCCTGAAAAGATCCAGCATCCGCAGAAGGGCTCAATCTAGTTCCAATGGTTTGCTTTTGCCCATAATCGGCTCCCAGTTCCCTTTCCCGGACAGGCCCCAATGTCATAGAAGCGTGTGTCCGTCACCCCAACCAGGATCCAGGCTGTGGGATGGATTGAACAGACAGATAATCCGAGTTGGAAGGGACCTTGTAGGTCATCTAGTCCAACCCCCACCCAAGCAGGAGACCCTACACCATTTCTGACAAATGCCAGTCCAATCTCTTCTTGAAGGTCTCAAGTGATGGCGCTCCCGCAACTTCCGAGGGCAACTTCTGTTCCATTGGTTGATTGTTCTGTCAGAAAGTTTCTCCTTGCTTCTAGGTTAAATCTCTCCTTGCTCAGTTTCCATCCATTATTCCTTGTCTGGCCTACAGGAGCTTTAGAAAATAGCTTAACCCCTTCCTCTCTGTGGCAGCCCCTCAAATATTGGAAGACCGCTATCCTGTCTCCCCTGGTCCTTCTCTTCACTAGACTAGCCAAGCCCAGTTCCTGCAACCGTTCATTGTATGTTTTAGCCTCCAGTCCCCTAATCATCCTGGTTGCTCTTCTCTGCACTTTTTCTACAGTCTCAAATATCTTTTTTATAATGTGGTGACCAAAACTGGATGCAGTACTCTAGATGTGGTCTTACTAAGGCTTTATAGAATGGTATTAGTACTTCCCTTGATCTTGACTGTATCCCTCTGTTAATACAATTTAGGATTGCATTAGCTTTTTTGGCTGCTGCTGTACACTACTGGCTCATATTTAGCTGGTTGTCCACTAAGACTCCAAGATCCCTCTCACAGTCACTGCTATTGAGCCTGGTTTCACCCAGTCTGTAGGTGTACTTTTGGTTTTTCTTGCCTAAGTGTAGGAAAAGTGTACTTTCTCTACATTGAATTTCATTTCACAGTGAGAATGGGCCAGGCGCGTTCCCACAACCCTTGGTGGGGCTGGCTGTTCCCTGGGAGAAGGTGCGGGGGGCGGGGGGATCGTGGCACGAATGCTCACGGGACTTTTATCTCTGCCGCTTGGCGGGTCGGGGGATTTTGCAGGACCAGGTTTTTCAGCAGAGGCGGGGATTCCCGCCGGGTCCTAGCGCCTCCCGGGCTCCCAAGCCTTACTGTTCGTGTACTGTAAGCGATCGCGAAGGTTGCATCAGGATCGGCGAGTGAGGAAACGGGCGGCCGGGCTGGAGGAGGGGGGAAACAAGGAAGCTTCCGCCGCACGTTGCAAGAAAAGAAGTCGTTTCATCAGAAAAAAAAAAGAAGAAGAAGAAGAAGGAGGAGGAAGTTGTCTATAAGCTAGATTACCTTCTGAAAGGTTTAAAGTTATAAAAGTCTGATTCATGGCTTGCTTTTCTGGAAATTAGCTTCCAGAAACCGTAACTCTGCGTCATTCTCCTCTCGGTAAGGGTAGGTAGCTGAGTCGGAATAAGAGGGGAAAGACCACTTAAAACACCAGCTATAACTCAGGGTTGCTTAGGGGCCTTCAAACTTGACAGCTTTAAAGACTTGTGGACTTCAGCTCCCAGAATTCTTCCTCCAGTAATAGTTAGCTCAGGAATTCTGGGAGTTGAAGTCCACAAGTCTTAAACTTTTAAGTTTGAAGACCCTTGGCTTAGGCAATTTTATACCTGGAGAGTAGGTAGGTAAGCAGGCAGTTAAGAAAGAGGGAGAGAGAGAGAAAGAGGAAGGAAGGAAGAAGGAAAAAAAGAAAAAGAAACGAAGTTGGAAGTTAAAAGCCCTTTGATATGATCTCCCTCCCCCTTTTCTCAGCCTCCAAGCTATTTGGTCGATCTTGGCCAGATAAAATGATGGAACAGGGAAATACATTGCTTTGGGGGTGGGTGGGTTTCCCCCTATAGATCAGCTATTAACTATATAATTAGCCCATCTTGACACATCATTTTTTACCTCAAGAACACATTAAAAACTTTAATACCCTTACATGCCTGAAGAAAGAAAGGAAAATTAGAGCTCTTAAATTTTACACGCTGTAGCCAGGCATTTTCCTTGTAGATCTTTGGTTAAGTTAAAATATTTTTATCCCATCATACCTGCACAGTGACTGCAAAATACACAGAAGAAGAGAAATATCAGAGTTCCTTTTTTTAAAAAAAATTCTGTGTGTTTCAATTGAAAGTGGCCAAATTTTGTTTGGCCAAATTAGGTTACCAGCCTCTTTCCCAAGCTTAGCCCATTTCCTGTTGTCTGCACAGATTTCTTCATTTCCCACTGGGACAGGCATGCTGTCTCAGGCGTTTAACAAACTTTTCCCTTGGGAATACCAGGGGAACTCCCAATTTCCCATTTTCCTACCTCTTGACATATGTGTCCCAGACTGTTTTGGGTGCAACCTGCCGCAACTGAGGAAAATAATAAAATAACAGAACAACAGAATTGGAAGGAAACTGGGAGGTCTTCTAATCCAATCACCTGCACAAGCAGGAAACTGTATACCATTTCAGACAAGTGGCTGTCCAGCCTCCGCTTGAAAACCTCCAGTGATGGAGCACCCACAAGTTCTGAAGGCAAAGCTGTTCCACTGGTTAATTATCCTAATTGTCACTGAAATTTCTCCTTAGGTCTAGTTTGATTCTCTCCTTGATTAATTTGCATCCATTACTTCTTGTCCTGCCTTCTGGTGCTTCAGTAAATAGACTGATCCCCTCTTCTTTGTGTCATCCCTTCAAATATTGGAACGCTGCTATCATGTCATCCATGGTCTTTCTTTTCACTAGACCAAACCTACCCAATTCCTGCAACCATTCTTCATACGTTTTAGCCTCCAGCCCCCTACTCGTCTTTGTTGCTCTTCTCTGCACTCTTTCTAAAATGTCAACATAAATTGGTACTAACACTTCACATGATTTTCTTGCCTAAGCATTAAACTTTAATTTTTCTCACCATTGAATTTCATTTTGTTAGATATGGCCTGGTGTTCAAGTCTCTTCTGGATCTGTCAGTCTGTCTTCTGGGGTTTGGGCTATTTCTTCCAGCTTGGTGTCATCCGTA